TTAGGCCGATAGCCTTAGATGCTAGTGCTTTTAAGAGTTTAGTCTTAGAATTTATTTCTCTGGCGAAATTAATAATAATAATAATAATAATATTAGAATTAGAATTTTATTTAATAATTTTTGATAAGTTTAATTTAATCTTTTGTAATTTTTCAATTTATTTCAATGTTTGTTGGAGAGCTTGCGAATTGGTTTTAATTTCACAAAAAGACGTTAGCTGATTTTTTACATTAATGGGTTCTACAAACAGAAAATATCAGTTCGGAGAAATCGTTGCCAAATAAAAGTTGAAAAGTTGAACGTTGTATAGCAACGCTGTTACTGTGTTTTTCAAGACATGTGTTAAGCAAGAGAATTATGTGAAATTAGCGCAAACTAACTAACTTATGTATCGTAAAACTAGTTTTTTGTTTACATAAAGTGCAGAAGAATTTTAATATGGCACTTTCGTAATTTAAAAAAATACTCGTGTCAGTATTTTCAGTATTTCCATTAGGCTATTATTTTTGTCGTAACCGCTATTATTTTTGTCGTAAGCTCTGTTATTTTTGTCGTAAGGATGATGGTATAACCAACTTAACATCTTAGTATGATAACACTTTGAGCTTCTTTAAGAAGTTGTAAAATTTTGCAATAACTATTTCGTTTATTTTTTTCTTTTACATTTTTTTTGAGTTGCGTAGTTGGGTAAGGCTAATCATTAGATACGCTACATAACTTCGCCTAATATAATTATTTAATTATTTTCAACGATTACATTTTGTTTCCTACTAAAGCCAGTCTATTTATGGAAGGACTCGAAACGTGAACGGACCGGTTGCAAATATATTAAAATTAACCTTCTTTTCAAAGACCTAATTATTATTCAACTATGTATTGTTGCCGCGTTCTCCCTTCAACAAATGAAACAGTAGTTGGTATTAGCTTATAAAGGCGGTTGTACAGAAAGTGTTGCAATAAATCGTTGCAACCCATCTATGCCTTTGCATCAATTTAGCATTGCCGAAATCCTACTAATCAGCGATTCTTGTCGAGCTATTTGAAATATTGAAATTTTTTCCATAGAACGAGTGGTTTGAAAAGGGCTTTATAAGGGGATTGGTCATAAAAATGATGCAATCCAATTCCAAAAGTTCTGGGACAAAACGCCTCGTTCTGATACAAACATATATTTTAACACTTGTAAAAATTTTTCCAATATAATAAACTTTCAGGTGCGATTGTTCTGTCTAAAAAATCGTTAGCACAGAGTTATTTTTAATAATTAAGAAAAAATGGTCAATAAAAACTCTTTATCATCGTTACTGAAATTGGCAACGCAGTGTAAGAAATTCTGTTAAATCGTAAGGAATTCTGTTAAACTGAAAAAGCAACAAGTAAAATAAAGCATATATATATAAATAACTTTTTAACTTTATTAAAAATGTTTGGTTATTATTAAAAATACAATATTAAAATTATCTCATTATCTCCCATAATATATGTTGTAGTTTAAGCTATAGTAATAACTAAAAAATCCTCCAAAATGCTTTTATAATTTTAAGCAGACTTACATGCGTGTTAGGAAAGTTACTCAATTCTGTTACAGCTCAAACGTTGCCCATGAATGTCTTTGATAAATACAATTGTACATCTACTTATTTATCTATCGCATACTAGAGGTCTTTGCATTTTCGAAGTGTAAAAACTTGTATACATTAGATCGCCCTATAAGACAGAGTTGCTTGTAATAAATAAGAAAAAGAAACAAAACGTGGCAATACATTCGTCATGAACTCTGTTAAATGGCAAAGCAGTAGCGGAAATCGTCGATACAATATTCCGTGCATGTATATGGAATGGCTTACAGCAACGACAATTCTAGAATGTTGAAGGAAATTAAGAAAAATGATTTTATCGAACTTCCTCAATGTTCAAAGTACGTTGAGCGAATGCTTTGCAGTTTTCAAACCAGTATGTTTATATGATTTAACTACGTCTGTTTTCACTATTTTGAAAAATTTCTTAACCATATTACATGAAAATAGAAAGTTGGAAATGCGAATCCAAATGTTTACTGCAAAAAGATTTATTCATACATACGTCGACATGATGTCTTTTTGCCAGTATGTAATCAATTGTTCAGATATCCAATGAGAAATTAAAATTAATGTTAAAATAAAATTACACGATCTATGTAAGTAATAGGAAAATAATCATGAGAAACGATGAAGTTCGTGAGGTAAATGAGCTCAAGAAAAGCAAGGTGAACTAAAATGTGCTTTTCCCCCTTTTTTTAAATAGCGAAAGCAGCTTTTCGCTTAGCGAATTTAAAGGAGTATAAAATGCATTACGTGCTCCGAAAGTTATTAATAGTCAATGAATAATCCTTCCATGACGCTAAGGCAAAAGAAAGATTCTCACAGTCAATTGAAAGCGTCTCTAAGTTAATGAAAAGTGTTTGAGTAAAAGGAAAATGCTTGAAAAAACGTGAAGTGAGAATGTTACGTGAATTCAAAAATTTTAATCAAAACCGTGATCAATTATAATGACCAATTTGCAGGGGCTTCCACATCGAAGGAAGAAAATTTTCTTATAATGCTCAGTAACACTGGAGAGGAAAATTGAAATTTCGCACTTGTGGCTTTATTTAAGTTTTAAGGTGGTATTAGTAAACAAAAAATAAAAACCACACGCTGGAATTTGTTATAAATTCATCGAGTACGAAAATATTTATTTAACAGCACAATAAAGAAAATACAGCGCAACTGATTTAAGACGCCCGTCTGTCAGCCGTACAAAAAATACTAGTATAAAAATGATTTCGATTATTAATGCGCCCACGATAAACACAATAAGTTGCAAGTGGATTGCGTCGTTCAACCATCTGTTGTCCGAAAGACTGGACAAAATTACAGCGAGCGACAGGTGTGTTGAATAGCACGTATACACACACAATATTAGGCGCTTGCAAGTATTTTGATCATTTTTTCACTTGAAAAACGCATTCATTTAGAAAAAATTGGCAAAATATATATTAATCAAAATATTTTCATTCGTTTTTAGCGGTTTAGCGGAGTAATAAACTACATCTTCCTGATCCCATATTTACGAACAACAAGATTTCATGGTGATGAATATTCCGCTTCGGTGTCGATAACTAGAATAGTGGGGTGTTAGACCAGCATCACCATAAGCTACTAAAAGCGAAAACTTTGAAAACTTTTCTTTGCATTTAATCAACTTTTAAAGTTTCCTTTCATAAACACTTGTAAGTAAACGCGTTAAAAAATATAATATTGACGTTCTTTATTTGAATTATGTCCCATAAAGTTAAACTGTCATTTCGAAAACATAATAATTTAACAAGGGGAAATCCTTCGCCGATTATAAGTGATTGGTTAGAAACCTACAAAAACATGAAAAGTATAAAGAAATGAAATTCAGAGAAATAGTTTCTTCTGATACAGAATGCATTAGTAATCTCTAACAGCTGCAAAACTACTAGGTTAAAACAGATCAATAAACCCGCAGTGACAGATGACAGTTATGCGCACTGAGATGTAGTGAATAGTTTTTGCACATTTTGCATCGCTTTTGTTGTATTTGCGAAACCTACGCTATATACTTTGAAGCTTCGTGCATATTCCTTCTTTTTCTTTGGTAAATTAAAAACAAAAAAATTAATGTGAGTTTTTTTAACGTAAAAATGCATCCCATTTATGCAATCCCGTTGGATTTTCTGTGAAGCCCTAATTATATTTTATTTGCTAATCATGGCATCACTGGTAATTGCAATGCTTTGACAATTTTGCACTACAGTGTTTATGTTATTTATCCGTCAAGAACTTGATAATGCCTTGCTCGTTTTTTAATAACAATAATGAAAAAGTTTGTCGCTTCCATGAAAAAATCTGCGTATTTATGTTAATTCTTAATACTTACTGATTGTGTCTATGTGTGTATAAAATTAAAAAAATTGGAAAGGCATCTTTTCTAAAAAGAAAAGTGTAAACATTTCCTCACATACAAAAAGGCGTTTTCCTCCTTAGAATAACGCAAGTGGAAAAAGTTTAAAAACACGCAATAAAAATAAACAATAGGAAAAGAAGAAACGAAATTATTTAATAAGCACATGTATAATTGTTTAAAAGCAGAAAAGAATTTACGCTATATCTTTTGAGTTCATTGTAATTTTTGTGAAAAGAAAATCATTCCTTTTACGCTGTGCAAATAAATTAAATGCATCGTTACCGCAATGTCTACAAACAACGAAGTGACGCAAAAAGATTTGCACGATTTGTTAGAAATTTTCGAAAAAAAAACATATGAAGCTGGACCCTGTGAAAAAGATACAACGGTAAGCGTAGTTGCCTAACACTTGTCAGAATGTCGGCATAATATATAAGTTTGTCATATCTGTCTTATTGCCACCAAAAGAAAAAAACGTGGTTTTCAAACAATGTTTTTAGGTTAGAATTTATTACCGTTGTTGTTACATGTGCATGTGTGCATATTTGTAATGCATTTATTCTCACCGTTACTACGTATAAACTACGAACGCGAATAAATAAATAAAAGAGAATATATATTTGCAGTTCAACAGTCAACTGTATAAAAAAAACGGTTTTAATCAGTTTTATTATAATAATGTTCCTTGAGCTGGAAAATGTGCCTACGCATGAATATATGTCGGTGTTATCTCTTTTTTATATGCCTTCATAGCTATTATATTACAATGTCCAATTGAGTTTACAATTCTATTCAGTCTATTAATCTGACATTGATCTGGTTGACGCATTCGTCCAAAACAAATTAGTATTTTAGTTGTTATGAAAACAATTATTCACGCATTGTTAGGGTGTCGACCTTTCTTTCTACTTTATCACTATTTGAAAGTATATCAAAAAAAAGAAGTATTTTGCATGTAACAGCAGGGGAACTGTATTTATCTAAAAAAGATTTTTTCTTTTTTTGACCACGAGTATAATGTGCTGGTTAAACAGGTAAAAAATAATGTATAGAATATTTGAATCCCCGATAACTTACTGAAGAGAATATTTATAATATGAGTCCTTCTCCTACATGATATGAAAAATTTGAAATATTAAACTGAAAGAGTCTGAAAAATACTTCGGCCCCTTTAGAGAAGTTTTTTTTTACAAAATTTGGCCACACTTTCAGCCTCTTCAGACTCTTAGTTGCTATTATTTATAAATATCCTTTTTAGCATCCTTTTTGGGGGCTCCTAGTCCTATTCAGTGGTCTTTTAAGCCTAATACGAAGGTAAGCATAAAAGATTACATTTGATTTTCAATATAACGAGTTTAGCTCAAAGTCACGTTGTCAGCGGATTATTAATACAGACGGGCATGGTTAAATCTCGGCTCCACTACTCATGCTGTACTTTAAGCCTTGTATGCGTTGTGAAAACACCTAACATGTCTTAATATGCCTTTTGCGGAAGGTTATAAAGATGGCTTCATTATATTAATTGTTTCATTCAATCTGCCGGGAGAATCCTCTTTACGTCTTTTTCAGTCATATAAACGAAATGACTAAACTAATATTCTTTCACATTTCAACGCAAGTGGTAAACTGCAGCTTGCATGACCAAATATTTTTTTTAAAGAGAAAAAGAAACCTGTTGCTTTCTGTTAGGAATTCATTCATACATACCTCACTCAATACGTAGAAATTTCTTTTACAAATTTGCACAAACACATACGCACTTGGTTGGCGTTTTGAAAGAAATTTCTGTATTATGTGATCTAGATGCTGCTTGACCTGCTTAAGTAGCCGGCATAAAATGAATGAATAAAAGAATACCCTCCGGCATAGAGCGGATAGGCAATAAAAAAAAGAAGCACATTGTTTGAAATTATCTACTTCCAGAGTTGTACTTTCGTACTAAATAATTTTTATATGAACAGTTTAAGCTATTATTGTTATTCCTACGCGACACACAAATAGACACATTAAAACGCCGCTTATTTATTCATTCACTAGATAAGATTTTTACTTTGCACTACTTGCATTCAAATTGTCTAAGAGACATGAAAAACTCATGAAAGTAAAAAGTATAACCCAGTCAATCGACTGGTTAACAATATATACCATGCAAAGCCGATTGGGTTTGTTTGTATGTGTAAAAGCAAAGAGATAGCATTTACAACAAAGTATATGAATATAATTTTTCGTATATCACATGAAACTTGCTTCGCATATGAAATAAGTCAGACAACTTATTTGCCAGCTTGTGTTTTCTGACCGCCCATTACATATAAAGTCTTTAAAATCCGGGTTTAATACAACAATTTTAAATCACAAATTTAGGTCGCCACCATACATATATATATATATATATATATATACATATAAATACTATATATATTTGTACACATGTAATCTCAAAGATAAATAATTAACCGCACATGCAATAAAGCGAATAAAACTACTGGTAGGTATACATTTTATTGCTGCATTTTACTGCTGCTGTCTCTGCTAGTGCTCTTTTAACTTGCGTGTTATGTGAATGCAAATAAACACGATAACAACAGGAGAAATAAATAAATCTTCAAGATCGAAATTGGCCACAGTTATGCACGTTTAACAAGCAAATGAAAACAAAGTTCCTAAGAACGTGAAAAAATATGTATTACAATCGGAGAACATTTAATAAATGCGACTGTAGAGTAATTAAACACCAGCAGCTGCTGTAAAAATACAAATAAAAGAAACTATTTATTTCTTCTTCAGGGGTTCCGTTAAGTAGTTGAGTTGTTGGTTTTCTTCTGACTATTGCTGAGCTGTTGTATCAGGCTTTCAGTTTTATATGTAGAGTAAATTTCAATTGGCACCGATTGCAATGGCAAAGCGCTGGCTTGATTTCGTTTTTCCACTCTATGCTACTTATTTGTGTATATTTAGCAGTAGTTAGCATGAGTGTAATATTGTTTTTATATACATAAAAAAGACAATATTCATGATGCTTGTTCCGATTTTTTTAGTTTTATGTATAATTTTATTTAAAGCACTTTTTGTTGTTGTTGTTGGTAAATAACATGTCGCATATTTGCAGAGATATACTAAATTGTTTTCAAAAGTATAACTGCATAAATAAGATGATATTGAAACTATCTACGCAGCAAAGTGCTGTGACAGCCGATATTTTGTGTTACGTTTTTCAAGTCTTTCTTTTTTCGGGCTTTGCTAAGAAATTGCTAAAGCTGTAAGGATCTGAACATTCTTGAAATTTGTTCTGAAACTACTATGTCTAAACATAAAGAGCGGAAAAGGTTCTATTAAGTGATTTACAAAAAATGCCAAAAAATGTTTTTTTTTTTTTAAATAAAGCTTAATGCAATTCAAATTATGTGTCGAGTTATTGAAAAAAATTATAAAGTAGAAATAATTCCGAAGACATGAAAACCTTCTAGAAGTAAACGCAAAACTCACAGCTCGAGCAAATTAAGACAAACTATAATAATAATAATATTATTTCAATAAATTTCTGATTCGTGTGCTTGTGATCTTTGATGTAAAATACTGAATTTCTCTACGATGGTGTTTCATCGTAATTTTTAGATTTTTCTTGCTATTTACTTTTTTTCTACTTGTTTGCCTGACTTTAACCGTTTTGCGCGATCCTCTTTTTTTCATTGCAGGAATATGAGATTATGAGAAATTGCGAGTTCCTTCTTAGACAAGATTATACACTAATTGTGCTTGACAACATAAATGGTTCATTGAGCGCCTGCTATCCGAGTCGTATATATATACCGGAATGCGAACGTCAGAATTGCATGACATCGACAATATTGACAAACAATGGTGTATTAATCCATTCATCGTCTGCATCTGCATTCTCCTGTAGCAATATGGGTTCATCAAACAACAGTATTCATGCTTATGTAACATTAGCCAAAACATTAGAAAAATGCCCCAGTCAAAAGTCCTTTCACAGCCTGCTTCAACAGCAGCAACAATTCCAACATTCGCCGCAAACCATGGGTAGAAAGACATTAACAGCCGAGAGTGGCACAGCTACGACAAACAAACAAAACACAATCTATGAAGATCTTTATGATGCAAGCAAAGTCCGTGAATTAGTTACAACTGCTAAATACGCAAGATGCCGTCAACGTTTCGTGGTGCCGGTGATTATGTATCGTGGCAAATACATTTGCCGATCAGCCACCGTATCAGTACTACCGGAAACGTATGGTCGTAAGGTGGTTGATTGTGCTTACGACTATCTAAGTGGAACTTACAACGATCGCGCCAACAATGTAATAGACGATGAAAATAACGAGCACGCCGACGATATGAATGAATCGTCGCCATTTTCTTATAGTGAAGCAATTAAAAGTGATGTGCAATTGTTGAATTCGTTGTATGTAACGACAATCGTTGACTTAATGGTAGAAAAAAGAAAAGTTAAATATTTTATGACGTATGTTGTCTTCATAAACATGTTTTAAAATTTATGTTTTCAGTTTCTGTATTTTTAGCGTATCGTCTTCAGAAAAAGCAGATCCTGAAAATCATTATGAAAGTTTCAATATATTGTCTTTGCCTTATCCGGGTTGTGAATTCTTTAAGAAATTTCGCGATAATAATTACGTAGCCGAAAATCTGCATTACAATTGGAAACAGTCGTTTAATGATGCCATTATAAGTATTCCTAAACTTGGACCGGCTGCAGACTTGGATATAACATGGTCCGAATATAAGCAGTGGGATTTGGTGCTGATCACACAAAATTATCTTAAAGCCTGCCTCAAATATATACAGGAAGATAATTCCGGTCTGCTCATTCATTGCATTAGCGGTTGGGATAGAACGCCACTCTTTGTATCTCTAGTGCGGTTATCTCTGTGGGCAGATAATCTTATACATCAATCGCTGAACGCTTTGCAGATGGCCTACTTCACTTTGGCTTATGATTGGTATTTATTCGGACATCAACTTCCTGATCGTTTAAAAAGAGGAGAAGACATCATGTTTTTCTGTTTTCATGTGCTTAAATTTATAACTGATGATGAATTTAGTATTGTAGAAAATAGGTAAGATTCATATACAATTTATAAATGATTGATATTGAAGATTGATCTGCATTGGGGTAGAAAACGGCTAAAAACATCGAGCAGTGGCAGTGGTAGCAGTAATAGTGTTGTTATTATTAAGTCTGATTTCTGTGAAGACGAACCCCTTAGAGAGTAAGTATATTTCGCTGAATTTTTTATTTGTCTGTAACTTAAGCATATTTATCGAATTTTTTTTTCCTTTAAGAGATATTATTTTGAACCATGATCAAGATAGCAATGAAAGTTTTTCCGCTATTTCCTGTGATATCGCTATAACAGAAAATTTTTACACAAATTCTTCACATATCAATCAGACATTTGCTAACTCTGTGACGAGCCGATCACCAAATCCCAGAAGGTATAGTATAGTTTATGTTACTCTCATCCTATAAGTTCGCTTTTAATTGCATTATATTTCATTGATATAGGTCAAAAACTAGTCCCATCTCCGTGCCCGGCGCTAGCGCCACGCGCCAACGTCAAGAGTCGACTTCATCAAATGGCAGCTGGCAAGTCGTTACAGATACCGGCTCTATTGATTCTTTGATGAATAGCAGCAATATGATGCATTTCATTTCACAGCAACAGCAAGATAGCAACTCAATTAATTCCAGCCATAGCGGGAACAGTGGCGTTTGCTTAAACGGTGGTTACAACATTGCAAATACACCAAGTAATGCCAGTAGTAGCAGCGGAGGCAGCGTAAATGGTCTCAATTTCATAACACACAGCACAGAAAATAGCAATGCAACTCTACCAACCAAAGCTGAGTGTAGTTTGTTAGTATGGTTTTAACTATTTGCTTTAAATGTTTTCATAATTAAATTTCGATTTCAATTACAGACGTAAACAACGTTTGAATGCGGTGCGAACAGCTTTCATACAAGCCTATGGCAAAACTATAGGTCTAAAATTTAAGGAAGGTTCTAGTAGAAGTATTTCCACTCTAATGGGTAATCTGACTGACCAATTTTTCTGAGAGCACTACCACACTGCCACCATTACCACTAAGCTGCCAAACATCTTCTTCATCTTCAATTGAAGTGTAACATCGGCTAACTCACACTTCTCTACAAAATACGAACGAAATGAATCGAATGCTTTAATTTATTAAATTTATTGTTTGTGATTTTGCGTAATTATTTTTTTCTAATCCTTTAAGTCGAAACCTAATATTTTATTGATATATAATACAAATTCAACTTTATCGATAATGAAATTTATAACTTATATACGTATTTTTTTGGGTGCGTTTTTATCCCATGAAGTGTGCGCAATATTTAGCTTCAAATTTTATAACACAAAAATTGTTCAAATCTCAAACATAGCGAACGAAATTATTACAATATCTTTGAACAATCGACCGTTGGATGTTAACGGTACGAGATGAGAGACGACTACTTCAGCAAACATGAGCAGCAATTGCTTAGGAGATAAATGTCTACACTCGAATAAGTAAATCTATTTGCTAGCATCCAAATACATTAAAAGTTTATATTTCCGTTATCATAGTTGAATTATAATTAACTGGATCTCTTCGATGCTGATTAATGCTTCCTTAAATTTAATTGCTAGGTATATATACTTGACTGGAAAAGTACTTACCAAGTGATTATGTATAGATTCAATAGAATTTAAGGCTTATTTTCATAAATGGCATTTTTTGAGGAGTTATTCATAAAGCTGATTTTTACAGGAAAAGGAATACTGTCAATACTTATGAGGAGAAGTGGGCGTCATCGCATATGAGTCAGCTCAGTCGGGTACCAAGATGGTAACTACTGCAATTTGTAACTTATAAAAAATACGACCTAAAGTCTCCACTTTTCGATTAGAAAAAATTTTTAAAAGAAATACAATTTAAAGTCACGGCCCTCTCTTTAAATGGATGCAAAAAGTGATCGGTAAAAAAATAAAATCGATATCCCTAGTTGCTTTATTTATATCCGCTTGAGCGATCGAGTAGGCAAGAGTCTTGACTAGCAACTAAATGGACGTGGGTCTAAATCTCAAGTGCGGTAGAGTTGTTAATAAAGCCAAAAGCCTTGGATTTTAGTTTAAGACTTTAGTCTTAGAATTTATTCTCCGGCTAAATTTATAATAATAATAACAATTTTTATTTATGTTTTTTTAAAGTTTGGAATGAATTGACAAAATATTGAGCACGAATTCTTGGAAGTTAATGTTTTATTTATATATAATAGATATTCGAATTCGTCGAAGATAATATTTGTAAAATTGAAATGATGTGATAAATATCAACGAATGAACAAAGCTGTGTTGGTTGTTTAAATAGAATCATCACTTCGCTTTTCATATTTTTAAACGTAAACTAAAAAAACAATGAGTCCAAGAAATATAAAGCATTCAGTTTTTGAATTTTTTCATTTTCGATAGAGGCATATAATCTTCCATATTAACGCGTTTTACTTTAACACGGCAAGATTTGAGATGCTTTTTGACTTCAGTCAAAGGAATCCATTTGGGAATATTCTTGTGCTTCTTGGACGAATCCACTTTTTCCAAAAGACGATTTTTTATGTCCAATTCATTCATTTTACGTTCCTGACTATAAGCCAAATCGAACACCTGCCTGAATCCAATTTCCCGAAGAAATTCTTCAGTCTCCTTACTGACATCTTGTCGTTCGGCGTCTTGCATTTTTAGCGTGGCCCTTAGCGATAGCTCTTCACTCAGAATCAAGTCAATCATTTCAAGTTCTAAAGCTAAACGATCCTCTAATGGCAGTTCGGCAATTTGAGACATTTGCTCTCGTAAATAGTTTTGCATTGGATTGTTAGCTTTCTTATGTGGTCTTACATTTTGATCTTCTAGTTGCACGCTAATCTTGATCACTGCTTGCCGTAAAGAGGGAGGTATAGCCTCTAAGTCATAAGCCTTGCTTAGACACTGTATGAGTGGCTTCAAAGCTTCCCAACGACGTTGAATATCCGACGTCGAAAAGCCAGCATTAGGGTCGTTTTCGTAGCTACGATTAAAGCTGGCATTGATACGCTTCCATGCCCACTCAGTGTAATCAGGATCTTTGTGAGCCTTCACACGACAATTGTACAGAAATGGATAACGTAATATCAAGTTCAAGAGTTTTCCATCATTCAAGACCGTTTTTCCCTCTGCATTCACATTCGATATATTTAGCACTTGTACACTGCGAATATCCTCAGCCATTTATCATTTAAATTATTATTATAACCTTTTTTTGTTATGTTGAGTTTGATGCGACAGTGTTTAAAATAACTCCGCAAAAACACAATTTTTGATAATTTGCATAAACCCAGCAATTTCTGCAATTCAATATTTTCATAAATATAAAATTTATATTAATATGATATAATTACGATGAAGCACTCGTTTCTGTTCTGTTCTATTCTATTGACGTGGGGAGTCTGGAGAAGTGAACATTGTAAATTAAATAGCACGTTTTTTAATGTGGAGTTGTAATTAACTAAGTCAACAGAAGCACAAAACAACAGCAATCTCGTTTTTCGATTATCTTTTACAGATGCATTGATAGTAATCTTGTTGTTAAAACAAAATTTGATTTGATTATAACACAAATTCAATAGTGTGAAATGGGAGAATACACCGACGTTGTCATTTCATAGAAACAGTATTCAAAATATGGCATGTCAGTTGAGGTCCAATTTTAAAAGAGAAAGATTTCCCAGCACAGAACCAATGTTGCCAGCAGTAAAATGAATAAAAAACAACAAATACAACAATCGTCTCAGCTCTCAGCAATTGTACAGTAAAGTCAATTTTGTAAGAAAATTTTACTGAGCAAGTGGTAAGTAAGATGAATTGACGAAACGTGTTTTTGAAAATAATACGATGTGTTTCTATAAACAAATAGTAATTCAATTGCAACTCTGAATAATCAACAAGTGGTCCGAATTTGGTAACATCTGAGAGTAATTGGAAGAGCGAGCCCGAATTTGGTCACATCTGAGAAAATATTGAAATAGTCAGTCTGCATTTGTTTACAATCGAGAATTCGACATATATGCCACAAATCTATTGGCTTATTCCATCTCCATTCAACATACCAAAAAAAAAAAAAAAAAAAAACATTCGAGAATAATTGAAAAAACGAGTCTGAATGTGGTAACATTAATGAAGTAATTCATTAATATATGGTTCGATTCTTCGAAAAATAAATGATCGATTTGACGATTGTTAATTTTTCGCGCAGGATTTCAAATATTTTTTTTATGATATTTTATTAAATTTTTTATTAAGACGTCACTTTATCGTTTCTGTATGAGTGTATCTAAACAGAGAAATATTAAATGAGTGCGAGTGAATAAACTATAGCTATTGCATTGATATATTGAATGCCTTCCATCACCACCCACACTTGAAACAACACGACATTTAGCACATGGACTACTTCCCACCCACCTTAAAACAATACCTTAAGTTTGGGCAGATATGGGCACGTGTCGAAGTTTTGTAAAGCCAATGTGAGCTGTCTGAATTGTGATAAATCTTTCCTGTAAACAAGTGAAAGAGAAGTTTTCCTCAAACTACAAACTCGATGATAATTCCTACGATGAGAATTTTCGCCCGTGGGGAACTCGTCTGCCCTTTTGAGCAAAGATGATAAAGAAAACGCTAATAAGACTTTAACAAAAAAAAATTCGGTCGTTAAAAGAAAATCTGTTGTTTTCAGACTTACTCCCTGTTCACCCCCCCAGGCCGCCTGTGACAAGATCTCAGTTTCTAGTGATTTCGAACAACAATTTGCGTTCTTCGGAGCTTAATAAATTAATCTCGGCTACTAAAGAATGTATCTGTCCGATGATCCCTCAAAACCTTGTTAAACAATTGGAAGAAAAAATGTCTTATTGTGCTAATTTAATCAAGCGTCTAGCACCAGGAGTAAATCCGCTGCGATTCCTTTCTGCTTTTATGACCCATCCTTCGGTGATGGATAAAAGAAACTTCGATAATTCAACTCGATTATCATTGAAAGTTTTCAAACTCGTCAGGTTGGTCTACTAACAATAGATTGTCAGAGCGACTCAATTTGACTCATTTACGATTTTATTGCTAGATATTTGGAAAAACTAAGGTAGTTTTTTTAGATATATTTATTAGTTTTTAATAAAATTATGAAATGTATACAAATTTGTTAATTTCTCTCCCTTCCCACTCCTTAATTACTAATTAATTACAAAAATTAATATATCCTATACCAATAATGGTGAATGTGACTCAATTTTTTGCCTACTTTTGCAAAGCAATTGAATATACACTTTGATGAACATCGCGACCAGCTCTTGTTAGACGGTCAGTATTCTATATGGTACAATCGCATACTGAACTCTGTACAGAAAACAGCCGTAGCAAATATACTGCGAGGAGAAGTTAACAACATGCCATACGTGACTTTCGGACCCCCGGCACAGAAAAACTGTAACGCTAGTGGAGAGCATTTTGCAAATTTTTAAACTGATACCCAGTGCACGTCTACTCGTAGGCATACCTTCCAATAGTTCTGCCGATGTAATAACGACGCGTTTGATCGAAAGCGGCGTACTCAAAATGGGTGACTTTATACGTCTAGTATCCCACGAAGATCTCAAAAAGGCACTTATACCAGAGGATTTAATGCCGCATTACGCCACAGGCAACAAATCCTGGGATACTGGCCTAAAGTATCGCTCCGAAGATGATATGGTTGCCACTGAATACGGACTCAAACTGAAATGCCAAATGAAGTCTTTAGGGCGCCAACAGTCAGGTCAAGCAAGGACCATATACCTAGCGATGTGCGGCATGCATTAGATTTCATTCAAAACGAGAAACGGATTAACATGGCGATATCTCGAGCTCGTTACCTTCTTATAGTATACGGCAACCCTGGCCTACTCCTTTTGGACCGTCGTTGGCGCGCGGTCATAAAATACTGCGTCGATAACGATGCCTACCTTGGTCGCGATTTGCCGCGGGTGGTTCCGGCGAATATTTGGGCAGTAGTTTTTCAATAATATATGCTGCTAATCGATCAGGGAATGTTTTTACCAAATTTCAGCATCATAACTTTTTTTTCCGATTCCCAAAAGTTAGCCCCAACATCTGTCGAAGTAATTATACACGCAATATCCGGCAATATATTGTGAACAGCCGTAGCTCTAGTTAACCCGAGATATGATGAAAGCTGCTCAACACAACACTTTTTTCAAATTATTTAATATTTTACTTTATAAAACCTACACCAGTTTTTTTATTAGAAAAACACAAGAACTTCCAAAATTCTATGGCATGAATAAAACCTAAAGCAGTTTGTTTATTGGAAAAACACAACAAATTTCAAATTCCTATGGTATGAATTGAACCTAAACCAGTTTGTTTATTAGAAAAACACAAGCAATTTCTCATTTCTATACTATGAGTAAAACCTACACCAGTTTGAGTTTGTGTCACTTGCAAATTCTTTTGCATATTTGCAGGCGATATCGCCATTTTTGCTAACGGGAGATTGTTTACAGCAGACACTGCACAGTTTTGCAGACAGACATATGAACAAATGAACAGGCGGACATACTTAGGCGCATTGCAAATGTGAAACTGATCGAGAATTTATTTACTTTCTGGGATTTTTGAAGCTTATTTTTGCGCGTTAGAACGCATACTATAGCAGTGGGTTAGCGAGGTTAATTTTTTCCATTTTGTACAGGTATGAATGGATCACACTATACTTTACGGGTAATGAGTAAAGCACAAATTTTTGATTCCTTTTTAAAAGCGGATATTTGACCACTGTATAAAGGAGTGCAACATTTTCTAATTCAATCAATTTATCATCCAACTGGAATACGACTAAGGTCTGTATTGACAAATGTCAACGCTTTCCCAATTTATTTTGCAGTTGCACCAATTCCGTTAAAAAAATAGAAAGTTTCATTTCATGTAACTTCCTTCTGAACCTCCTGTCTAAAGTTGATCTTCCTTCCGATTTATCATCAATTCAAAGTGATTTTCAATCTGAGAGCATGTCTGCTAGAACCAACTTTTATGACAGTGAGTCCTTCTCATCTAAACCTTGGTGAAAGCCTTCCCTGCCAACACTCTCTCTATCGCAAATATCAAGCTGCAAGAAAAAAAATGAGTATGTCAATCCAGCCAACTTCGTTGAATATATGAAAACATTGAAGGAGTGGAAGTCTGCACTAACGAAGGCGAAAAGGACACATAGAGCTATCATGATTAAAGAGTTATGTCGTAATGGCACCTCAGGCTTTTCTGGAATTACATCAATGGTCATCGACATTTTAGTCACGATTTAAACGGTTATGCTGTATATAATGATCATGATAATAAGAGATACTTAGTTATGCTCCATAGCCCTATTCCAAGTGTCAATTAGATTATCCTTCAATTCTTTTTAGTAGTCTCAACAATACACCTTTCTTCCATCTAAACGAGAAATTAGGCTCCTTATCAAAAAAAACTAAAGTTATTCCGGTGAAATCTTCGCCTCCCAAAAAAGCTTTGACTGTGCACAAAGCTTTAGGCAGGTCTAACATTGGATTTGCACATTCTACATCTTTTAATTTCATAAAATACATTGAGAAATGTATATAAACATTTGAAAATAGAATTTTAAAACGTTGTGCTGGACTAACCCCTTCAACATATTCTCAATGTCATTTCTGGTGAGTGGCCCGTTTCCGAAAGAGCTCTTTTTTGTATTGCTAAGAAGTTAATTAAGGTCAAGGTAATGAATCGTTCCTTTCTTCAGAAAGTTATATCTCTCAGTGTTACTGTCTTCTGCAGCTACATATTTCGTTACAAAAAACTGCATCACATATTTGACAAATTAAATTCAATCGCTGTCTGGAAGTTTGTTACTAAGAAATGTAGAGCCTTCATGAACATTCTTGAATCGATCACGAAAAGCTTCTTCTTTATTACAACAATGGCTATGATGAAACACGTGCCATAGAAACATAAACAAAATAAAAATCTTGCGGGGAGAATTCTCTCGGCCTTTGTTTATTTTCAACTAAACGGGGATGGATTATGTTAATTTTCATAGAAAAGGGTGCAGCTTTTGTTTAGATACGCATCGTTTCCTGTACATGCAAATGGATGAAGAGAATTTGAACGATTTTATTGACGCTTTTTTTAAAGAAATAACTTTCTGTCTAAACGCTTGAGAAGCTGTAACGGCAACGGATAACTCATAATAATAAGTGTTTTTTAACAAACCGTCCAGTGCCGTGCCACTTCCCCAAAATTTGATGGTGATTACAGAAAATGAAGGCAATTTTATGACTTATTCCTGCACATGATCCGCAACAAACCGATATTCGATGTAGTATCTTAACGCCAATCTTTAAGGAGAATCTGAAAGACTAATAAGCCACTTGTCTAAAACTGAAGGTAATTACATCTCCGCTTGGACAACTTTGCAAGAACGATACAACTATAAAAGAATTCTTGTATTAACATTGATGCCGCCTCAATCAAAAATATTCACGATACAACCAGAGAATGCTTGCTACCATTTTTAAGGATGCGTTTTACCAATAACAAGTCTGTCTGCATAATTATCCGTCCATAGTCCAAAATAACTCTCACCGGTAACCATACAAACCCTAAAAGTAGCTGGTCTATCTATCCTCCGCGTGTAAGTAAAAGTACCTGTCGTTTGACCGTTTCCTTAGCGTAAGTGCGGTACAAAGATGTGTAAAACATTTTCTCTTTTGTATTCAAATTTTTCTCTACACTGTAGGAATTGTTCTGACCACTACGGCTTGTTTGTAAATGAAAAAGCTAACTTTCATGCAAAAAGGGCTCAAGTTGATGGGACAATTTCGTGCATCAAATAAACTATCAACGAAGCAATCCGGGCAATTCGCAACCACATCGTATTAATTCCAATCACCCGTTCTACAAAATAAATCCCACATTTCAATTCAAACCCTTTTCAGAGGCATCCTTTAGTTCCTGGAAAATCAAATACTTACTTTATTTGATCGCTTTAAACTGAAAGGTGGGTAAGGTAAACTGGTGGGTGGGGGAGTACATTCCTTATGCAAGGGCTAAAATAAATGCTGAGAGCTGAGAGAATTGCTGTATTTGTTGTTGTTTTTGTTGTAAAAATTATTCGCTTTACTACTGGCAACGTTGGCCACAACTTCAACCAACTTTGCTTTGAAGAAGGGTAAGCCATTTTTACCACATTTTGCAGATTGCTGATACACATGTGGATTATTATAATACATGAAGGAGTCCTAGGCGGTGATAAAAATCAAGACTTGTAAACAGCAGGGAACGCCACATTATTTGCGCAGCTGTTGTTTCTCTTTTTCAGTTCCTTATGTAAAGTGAAATGCTACATATAAAGTGTGAAGATACAGATCTGGACCCAGTCCCAGTAAAGGTATATATTTTTGTCAACTACGCTCGTCTGTTTTATAAAATCCAACTAGTGCTATCTGATAGATTGGAATAATTGGCGGTTCAGGCTTAGATGATCCAGATATATTAGAAGAGAGAAAAGAAACTTCGATAGATACACCTTTTGGTTCTCCATCAGATGCTTTGATTGCCGGTAAAATTAATGGTGTTGATTGCGTTTTATTAGCTCGCCATGGTCGTAAACATGATATCATGCCTACGAATGTCAACTACCGGGCAAATATATGGGCTATGCGTGCTATGGGATGTACTCATTTAATTGTCTCAACAGCGTGTGGTTCTCTCCGCGAAGAAATCAAGCCTGGTGATTTAATAATTCCAAATGACTTTATTGATCGCACTACCAAACGTGTTCAAACATTTTATGATGGACAAAATGCTAATTTAAAGGGAGTCTGTCATCTACCTATGTATCCAGCCTACAGTGAAAGGACTCGAAGAATCTTGCTGGAAAGTGCCAAGGAACTTAACTATGACGTGCACAATAAGGCAACCATAGTAACGATTGAAGGTCCTAGATTTTCTTCGCGATCAGAGAGCACTATGTTTCGGTTATGGGGTGGAGATCTTATTAATATGACCACTTGTCCCGAAATAGTATTAGCTAAAGAAGCCGGTTTACTATATGGCTCAATAGCTATTGCTACTGATTATGATTGTTGGCGAATGGGATGTGAAGGTGTCAATGTGCAAGATGTCCTTAAAACTTTTACCGAAAACGTTGCTAAAGTCAAACAAATTCTTGTAAAAAGTGTCTCTAATATAGCCAAAGAAGATTGGAGTGAAGATATTTTAGACGCTAAGGTTGTCTATAGGCTTTAATACTTTGTGATCATAAATTTATAATAACCTTTTCGTTATAACAGGAATGTATATGCAGCAACACTATGAGTGGTAAGATGTGACGTTTTCTATTGCTTTGCCATGAAATAACCAAAGAGACTCTACTTAAGAAAAAACCATTTATCCACGGGAAAAAATTTGAAGCCATGGAGCGAGGCAAAGTACGACCTAAACTGCAATCCATTTCTATCATATATGAATTGGAACCAATTACTACTAGCAAGCGAACAAAGAATATCTAAAGTACACATATAATTAAATATGTACCCATATGTACCCATATATATGTCCCACGTACAGGCGGCAAACATTTTTAGTAATAATTCACTTTACACTTTTATCAGCGTGCTCATATATTTTTTAATTTATTTTTTTTTTTGCAAATTTTGAACAAAATATAAACGAACTTACTATTTGTATAGGTTTGCTTACTTGCACGTGCGTGTATATGATTTGCGATTATTTTACGGACACTTGCGTTCTACTTGACCTTTTCCAGATTCTTCATACTCTTGGGAAGATATCCACATTTGTTGGAATGTACCAATACTAGCCAATATTGAGCCACCTATCCATGCCCCGAAACGTCTTTCTACACTGCCATTAGCTGAAATCATTTTTAGTCGAGTATTGGAAGGCGCCCTTAGTTGCAAATCACGATTTAGGCGTTCAGGGAAACCTTGCAATAAGGTATTGCCACCAGTAACAACTACGGACCCATACAGAGATAAACGTACATCGGCATCGCACATACCCACACTCGTAGATGCTAATTGTCCTGCTCCTAGAGGAGCATGATCAAACAAACTTTCTGCTAATTTGAAACGTTCGGAACCAAATTCTTGATGATAACCGTTAGGAAATTCGTAGTGGACCATCGGTATCTGAGAAGCAACTCTCTCATCGAATGGATTTTCCAAAACCTGTAGGACGTTCATTTGAAAATCTTGTAATAGCGCTTTCAACATGTAATTCTGCCATGATTGTGTTAGATTTTCGGGTAATTTTCGAGAGACGAAACGTGGATTATCTCTTTCTTTTACAACGTCTTTTGAAGCTATTTTATAAACAGGTGTCAAATCTACGCCCATTTTTTCCAAATGCTGGCGGCATTGCATAGACAGATAATCACCGCCTAAAGGTGATTTTACAACTGCCTGAGAAAGAACGTAGCCTTCGTGAACTGGAACAGCGGACGTATGTGTTGCGCCACTATCCACAACCAAAGCAGTTGCTCGCCCACTGGCAAAAGCAGCTAGAACGGCATTCTTTACTAAAAAGAACGCTGGCACATTGTACTTTTCGAACATAAGTTCAGTCAGTTTTTCACGATTATTACGGACATTCCATGAAGCTTCGGAAAAGAGTACAGGATGATATTCCGGTTCCGATTGTATCACCTTAGCATAAGCATAATCCAAGACTTTTTCAAATAAATCCCAATTATCGATCATGCCATCTTTCATATAAGTTTGTATCTCTGTATCCGTGCGTGGTACATTTATATAGGTGGTATCGACATAATATTTATGTGGTTCTATATCTTTTGGAAAATAGTACGTTTTTAAAGGTAAATATAATACTTTGTAGTCTGACTTACGATTCTGAGTTATATTATTGTCCGTCTTTGCTTCCAGATCCTGAAAAAAACAACAATTACATTTATTTAATTATACTTGCTTGTTCGATTCAGATTGGTTTTGTCATTGTAAATTTGAGCAAAATTTGTACGAATGGTCTCAAGAATAGTTCTAATAAATACATAAATACCATAGCGTCTGAGGTATTTGGTCCAACTCCCACCACGGAAGGTATTTCCGCCTTCGGTGTGTCTTCTTGCGCGTACCCAACACGTAGTGAGTGATGGCCAGGATCAAACACTAAAGCTCCGATCTCGTCACCACCATATAACATATTTCCGGCGCTCATTTCATTTATTTACAGATAAATATGATAGTATTTAAATTTCACTACAAATGATGTATTTTATTTACAGCGTTTAAAAACTCAGGGATGTTAAAAAACAAATAAGGTCATGGTTGCCGCTTCTATTAAAATAATAATGAAACAAAACTTAAAAATTGAGTGCAAAGAGGAAAGAAGAAACTAAGATGAATACGGAGTTTACGGAGTTTAAAGTATAATGAGCTTGATACCGCCAAATTTAGTGAAATTTTTTTGAACTTCAAAACATATTATTAATGGGTTATAATGATTACATTTGTTTATTTATGACTATACCGCATTTCTTAAGCAAAGCTGTCCAATTTCAATTGTGACTATGAATTTGGAAGCATCTGAGAATAATAGAAAGAGCGAGTCTGAAACATGAATTTATCCTGTTTATCTTTTGTTTGTAATTCAATTGAGTTTTAAGTTAAGTATTATTAGCAACTATTACAAAGTTACATTTAAAGAAAAAATAAGATCAACAAAATTCAAATATTAGTTTTGGGAAAAAGAAATCCATAATTTTTATATGAACTTCAGGACTTTATTTAACATGCTTCGGATTGTCCGATTTGGGTCAAATATGCACCGTTTTGTTGTATGATTTGTTGCCATTTTAAAGGTAACTTCAAAATGCCTTTCTCATAGAAGTCCTGGTCTCTATTTGCAAAAAACTCTAGTAGTCGATTTTCACAATCCTCCTTAGATTCCAATTTTTTATCATTAAAGAAATTTTGCAATGCAAGAAAAAGATGATAATCGCTTGGTGCCAAGTCCGGACTGTATGGCGGATGCATTAAAACTTCCCAACCAAGCTCCCGAAGTTTCTGGCGAGTCACTGTAGATGTGTGTGGCCTAGCGTTGTCCTGGTGGAACACGACAGCTCTCCTGTTGGCCAATTCTGGCCGTTTCTGGTCAATCGCTATCTTCAAACGGTCCAGTTGTTGACAGTAAAGATCAGAATTTAGCGTTTGGCCATAGGGAAGCAACTCATAATAAATAATCCCTATCCAGTCCCACCAAATGCATAGCAAAATCTTCCTGGCCGTTAGTCCTGGTTTGACCACCGTTTGAGGTGCTTCACCGCTCTTTAACCACGATCGTTTTCGCACAGGATTATCGTATGTGATCCATTTCTCATCTCCAGTCACCATCCGTTTAAGAAATGGGTCTATCTCATTCCGTTTGGCCAAGGCTTCGCAGATGGAAATTCGATCCATCATGTTTTTTTCTGTTAATTGGTGTGGCACCCAAACATCGAGCTTCTTTTTGAATTCAGCTTTGTGTAAATGGTTTAAAACTGTTTTATGGTCGATTTTTAGCTCCTGGGCGATGTTACGACTGCTAACATGCCAGTCAACTTCGATCATTTCTCCGATTTTATCGACATTTTCGACGACCGGCCTACCTGTGCGAGGTGCATCTTTAACATCAAAAATTCCTGAACGGAATCTACGAAACCAAAATTGCATATAATTGGCTGTTACAGTATCGCAACCATAAACACCATTCACAACTTTAGCCGGCTGGCTTGCATTTTCGCCTTTGTCAAAGAAAAACTGTAAAATGTACCGAATTTTCTCTTTGTTCACTTCTATTTTTAACACGCTGTAACTCACAACTGAATGCACCAAACAAAAAACAGCAAAAGAATTTTTTTTACTGCGAAATGTCACCTTTCCAACGAGCATAAATCTGAAATTGTTTGATCGATACTTTACGAGAAATCTATCAGTACAGCCATCTACCGAAAAAATAATGGATTTCTTTTTCCCCAAGCTAATATAAAAAAATAGATCAAAAAACAAGTAAGAAAGTTGTATTCGGCGAGGGCCGAATTCCATTTACATTCATTAGCTGGTGTCATGCATGCCGCTGCAAAATTTTTCCACATTATTTCTTATGGCAGAGTTGAATTATCCATTTTAAACGAAAGCTACTGCATACCATCTCTCATAGTGAGCTAAATAACTGAAAAATCGTACCCAACCCTTATAAAGAAATACTTATGGAATTGCCAGAAACGACTTACATTGAGTTGGAGTGGATATCCGGATTAAATTTTCTAACGTCCACTTACAATTGTAGCGTAGGGGTTCCGTCGGTCTGCTTTAACAACTACTCTATCACAATAGAGTAATTAAGACCATAATAACGGTCTTCTGTTAGGAAAAATCGCATTTGCAAGAATAACGGCTTGCCATTATGCAAAGAAAAAAAAGGGAAAGAACAAAAATCTGTAATCATAATGGTCTCTCTTGTTAAATCACTCTGTTATGCAAGAGCGAACCGTGAAAAGAGTCCCGTGTATATTGAGCTTATTAGTTTTTGTTTGTCTCTGAAGTTCTGAACAGATTTGGCGTAGTACTTTGTCATGTTAAAAGAAGGGAAAAAATTAAACATGGGCAAAACAAAAAGAAAAGGACAGTTCTAGTTTTGATTACAATTACAGATCCAGATGCTGGCAATTTTTTTACATGCGACAGCTGTTAATAAACAAATGTACACTCAATTATTCAGAATTGTAAACAAAGATGGACGCTTACTCCCAGGTGGTCGCAATTATTATACGCTTACTCTCAGATGGTCGCAATTTTTATACAAATACATTTTCAATTCTTGAGAATTGTAAACAAATGTGGACGCTTACTCTCATATGGTCTCAATTTTTATACGTTTACTCTCAGATGGTCGCAATTTTTATACAAATACATTTTCAATTATTGAGAATTGTAAACAAATGAAGACGCTTACTCTCAGATAGTCGCAATTTTTATACAATTACATTTTCGAATATTGAGAGTTGTAAACAAATGATAATGTGGTTTTTTTGATTAGTTCTTCTGTAAAGGAACGTAAGAGATTTAAACAGTAATGTTATATACATATGCACATATGTACAAGTACAAGTAAATACAAGACAAGTCTATACAAGTATGGGGGCAACACTTGTGTTTGCCTATATATGCCGCCAATATGAACTATATATATGAACTATCACAAGAGTTGTAAATCAAAGTAGTAAAAAAACCAAAAAAAGTAGTTATTTAGATTCATTATAAAATCATATTTTATTAAATTTTTTATTATAAACATGTTTTTGCCAAACATATTTATCAAAAATAAAAATTATCATTAAAGTTCAAGCCGACGGCTTTCTGTGAGATTTCATGTTTACAACGAAGTGGTGCGAATCGAAAAATCGAAAAATTTTGCAAAAATATACAAAATATACAAAAATATACAAAAAATATATAAAAAAAATTACAAAAAAACTCAATTTATTTATTTATTTAATTTTGACTTAAACATTGGCAACTAGGTGATTTTTTAAAACTTCATATATTTTATTTTCAACAAGGAGACCCTCCAGAGATTCGCATAGTTTTCCTTGGAATCTCGTTGTGGTCTCCTTGATAATGATAATGGAATTAGAATTTGTAGCAAGGGTTTATCGTGGGTTCCTGCCTGAAAGGCTTAACCCCACGGTCGCCCAAGCCACTTTAAGCGTACTACGCCCCCTGGCGAGTTAGACAATCCCCACAGAGTAGGGGCCTAAACAACACCAAAGTCCAGAACGGTTTATTGTGTATAGAACAATAAACCCCACTCTGGTCAGTGGTGAGGCCTAGCTGCACTCAAATTGTTCCACTTTGGCTAGGAACTTGCCGACCACAACCACCACGAGTACTCCCCGAAGGGCCGCACCCAAGCAGTGCGGAATTAGAAGCTGTATATATCACATTATGCAAAATTTATGTTTCTATCATCACAAACATTGGCGTCGGATTTGGTATGTGCAATTTTGAAAATTACAATTTTTCATATAACGACTTTTCACAATAGGGTGTTATGGGAGAAATGGCGCAAACGGAATTTCGTAATTTCTACCGAAAACAATTTAAATTTGACGGCGTCGAAAGTTATCAATTGCAACTGATAGATGCCATTTACACGGCGGCTTTCAAAACAAAAACGGAAAAGAGAAAACAGTAACAAAACATACCGGTTTTGTCTCTCTCTACTAATTGTTAACAATTTACTCGCAAGCCCTATTATTTTTGTCGCAAGCTCTATTATTTTTGTCGCAAGCTCTATTATTTTCTATTTATTTATGTAAACAATTCATAATAGTAATCAGCTGTAATTACGTTAACTTAGTTTAGAATGATCTCAATGTCGTTAGGCGCTTTAAAAATTGAAAGCTTAACGTATGAAAAATTACAACTTATCTTTTGTATGTTTGCTTGTTTGGCAAATGTGGCATTATTTTATATTATTTTTTATCATCTTGAACATGTTGTGCCAGATGTATTTTTGGCTTAGTTTTCGAAATGTCCTGAATGTGGGCAAGTGTTTTGAAGTTATTGACAGATTCCTTGTAAGAAATGTCTGCAAACTCTCAATACTGTATCAGGAGTTGAATACCAACTCACAGCAATGGATAAGATGAAAATCCTATTGTCAAACCACGAAGCTATATAGTTTTGGTTTAGATTAGTGTTAGTTGTTTCCAAAGAAGCTCGGACAGTTGGAATAACAATAACTAAAAAGTTATTAATTACTTTTTGTATCAACTTTTTCACCCGATTTGTAAAACTTTGCAAAAGTCTTCTTTGTCCGAACTATGTCAAAAAGTCAAAACAAAAAGTCTTATTATAACAATATCATCAGGGTCATAAAGACGATAATTGTTTCCACTGAGGAAGCAGGATTGTTTGGTTTTCACCTTTTAATATTGATATGAATCATCTTATTATTGTTTTATTACATAAACTAGAGTAGTTTTTCGTTCTAAGGTGCCTAGTTTGATTTGCCTGCCGCCTGGTAAACTTTCGTCACTCACGATTTTTTTGCTCCAGTAAATACATCCCATTTGTTCTCTCATACCATGTCAAAAGTATACTTATGGCATAGTGTTTTTGAAGAGTTTTTATTTGTTTGATATAGTTGAAGCAGTAATTTACATACTAAATTGCGCTTTATTTTTGTATTCACTTTCAACCATTAGCTTATTTCCGAGAATGCATGTATATCTGCCTTGAACGCTTTTAATTGTGCTACCTCCTACCAGGTCTATTACTCTGCTATATAGCTTCTCATGAGAGAATGACCAGCGTGTATTGTTCGTTTTTAGTTTATTCCTGCATTGTCAAAAATTTCTTCAGATATGGTCTGGACGCATTTCTCACTTCTAATTCGGTTCCTTTTCCAAACATTTCTGGAAGCCATTTGTTATGTTGGATAGATCGTCGCATGGTTTTTCAGATGGCTTTAACTCTATTCAAAGACATAGGATTTCAGTTTTAACTCAAATAATTTAATAGTTTTTATTAAATATACGATTTAAAACTTTGAACTTCCATCAAACTTTTTAACGGAAGGCATTTTAAAAAAACTATGGAATGACGCACATTTATGATACCTAAATTGGAAAAATTGACGTGACAAATAAAGAAAAAGAATTGTATTCTTGTCCAACATAGAGTTTAAGAAAAGGAAGGTAAACTTCAGATAATCAAATTGCTATAAAATTTTAAATTAATTAATCTCTTCAAAAAGGCATTGTAAATGTACATAACGTCATATTTAAAAAAAAAAACAAAATTATTACGATAGAATGCATTTTCATTTCTTAAATTTCGGAAGAATTTTATATATTTCCACGCGTTAGCACGTAAAAGCGTTGAAATAGAGCAAGAAAGACCACTAAATACCGAACATCGCATATCCTAATCCCATTCTTCACTTATATACTTATTATGCTAAAGTACTGCTTTGCATTTCCGTTGAGAAGAAACGTATCAATGTACCAAATTTGATCAAAATATGTGAAAATTGCGGCCTATATGTTGAAAATGAAAGCATGTGGGCTAACACTAAACGGGACACTGTCGCGGGACACTACAAGAAAAGGCCGGATGCGTTGCAGGTGTTATAGCTGCTTTGGTTCTTGGCGCCCACGGTTTGTCTCGAGCTGGGTATTTGTATGTAAGTCTAATAATTAAAAAAACAATGTTATTTAGTCCTTCAGGGATGACGGCGAAGCCACACCTGTCATCCCCTATCCGTAATAGTAAAATAGTCCTTTTAGTCATTCAGAGATGACGGCGAAGCCACACCTGTCATCCCCTATCCGTACAGGCAAAACTCTTTATCGAAGTCGATTTGTTAAATTATCCGTGTGCACTTACCTTAGGCAGCTCTGACACCAAATTGAAAGATTCTGTGTGATGAGCTGCTCTTTTATAGCTGGGTCTGGCTCGCTTGTTCTGTTTCAACATGTCCTCGGTTGTATGCATTTCCGTGTGTGTTGTGGTATTTTACTTAAACATGTGCTTAACTGAGGTTGGCTGCTGTCACAACCTCAGTTACGACTTGCATGGGCGACTTGTACAAACTTACTATCAACTTATTGCTTAACAACTAACTTACTGCTATGTTTGATTAAATGCCTACTCAACACGTACCCAGGTACTAAATCGCGTGATTTATACCACTGTTAGGTACGTGGGTGCTTGTTTCTCAACCTACGGTTTTATACCAACAAGTGTATTTTTCTGTTCTTGTGTGTTTATGCGTGTGTGCAATGATATATTTTCATATGTGTTATGCCGTTTTGTACCTGCGTGTTTATTCCTGTATGCTTTGTGTGATCATATATTGTACAGATTTTCTACCGAATTAGTATATGCATTTCCTATTTGTGTGCGTATTCTTGTTGTTTGTACAATAGCTATCGCGAGCGTGTATACACGTTATCTTATTGTATGCGTATTCTATTGTCTCATATGACCTAACGGTGCTTTGCGATGTTCCTGCAGTTTATACACTTTGCAGGTGTTTGTGCTTTTTACAGCATAGAGACTTTTGCTAAAGTCTATTCGTTTTGCATGTATATGCTTATCCCTTATTTTCCTACCTACGCTCATTTCTGTGTGTTTTGTTTGCCCTAAGGGTGATTTCATGTGCCATAACGGTGCTATACATTTGTGCTAATGACTTCGACATCGATATGGCTGGAAATCTAGTGCTTAGTGTAAACGGTGGCGACGTTATGTATGATTTTGACGAACGTTTGTCTTCACCATTAAATAGTACTAGCCCCGTAGCAAGTGGTAAAGTCGGTACCGAATTAGCAGAAGCTCAACACACGAAGATACCTTCACTGTCTGGGGTAGAACTTTTCCCTACTGATTACGTTCAAGTTCAGGCTATAGAATTGGTCAATGACGGCACAGGTTTAGGTTTTGGTATAATCGGTGCTCGAACGGGTTTGTTGTCCAATTGAATTTTTTGTTTGCATAGTTTTGTCATTTTAACAGAGTTTTTGTTTGGTTTGTCATTTAACAGATCTCTTGACGAATGTATTGCCACTAAATTCGGGTGTTATTGTGAAAACTATTTTGCCAGGAGGTGTAGCTGATAGAGATGGCCGCCTTCGCTCGGGCGATCATATTCTTCAAATAGGTGACGTAAACTTACAACAAATGGTTTCAGAACAAGTCGCTGCCGTTTTACGACAGTCTGGTACACATGTTCGTCTAGTAGTGGGGAGAGCTATAGAAAATCCTTTGCCAACTGGTCTTAATTTAGAGCCTGGCAGTGCAATTGTGCCTGCACGTGTTTTAGTTGATCGTGCCGAATTAGAGCGCTATCTAATATCTACAGGATTTCCTGAGATATTCGGAGAAAGCTCAAATGCTTCTACTCCGCAACCGAAGATGAACGTTTTATATATCGTGGAGCTGCAGGACAATCACCAATGATTGATTTACTGGAGCTACCAGAAACTGAAACGTTGCAAGTGGAACTTACCAAAGATGCCAACGGTTTGGGTATAACAATAGCTGGTTACGTATGTGAGAAGGAGGAGCTTTCGGGTATCTTTGTTAAAAGTGTTTCTCCTGGTTCTGCGGCCGATCTCAACGGACGCATACATGTTAATGATCGCATAATTGAAGTGGATGGGGGTCAGGTTGTAAATTTACGCTTAGAACGTTATCTACGTGGACCGAAATATGAACAACTACAACAAGCCATAGCGGCTAACGATGAAATAACCATTAGCGCAACGTCTACACCGTCACGTAATTCCGCACAGCATTGTTCTACAGCGGGAACATCGCTTTTAATGACAAGCAGTTCCGAAATGTCTGCTTATTTTCCGGGCTTGGATGTGAGCAGTTTTCTGACGGAGTCTGACTCATTCATGCAGCCGACGATTGCGAAGCCAGCTGAAACGTCAACTGCTTCCACTAGTGCGAGCGGTTTCGGCATCGATAATATTAGTGAGGAGCTTCCCAAGTTATCTCCGGAACGTGCTCCAGAGTGCGAACAAGAGGTAAGAATAAGACGCAGTCTTCTTTGTTATTCTTTAAAAAAACATTGTTTCCTTAGACAATACATGCTAAAAACAATATACTCTTGGCGCGACATAAATATTATACCGAACCGGAATTAACTCCTGAAGTAGAACAAGAAATTATAAGAAAGTGGAAAAATACCGTTGGTTCCGATGTCGACATTATCGTAGCGCAGATCAAAAAATTTCCAATCGGTGGACTGGGAATCTCACTGGAAGGCACTGTTGATGTAGAGAGTGGCCGAGAGGTCCGGCCACATCATTATATACGCTCCATTTTAGCCGATGGACCAGTAGGTGTGAATGGCAAACTGCGAGCTGGTGACGAGTTACTCGAGGTTAATGGAGAGCGTTTGTTTGGCATGAACCACCTTGAAGTGGTAGCAATTTTGAAAGAATTGCCTCAAGATGTGCGTATGGTGTGTGGACGTGGTAGAACCGAATTGCTACCTTTTTCGGATGATACGTTACGCAAGTTAGGTAATAATTTCGACAACCTAATACCGTCTTCTGATCGTTTAGTTAAAGCCAAATCAGATGGAAATTTGGCAACTTCATCGGCAACAAACGAAGATTCCTTTAAACTGAAGTCACGTTCTCTAGAACCGCTAACTGGTCTAGCGATGTGGTCTTCGGAGCCGCAAATAATCGAATTAATAAAAGGCGATCGCGGCTTGGGTTTTTCGATATTGGATTATCAAGATCCTATGGATTCTAGTGATTGCTTAATTGTCATACGCTCTTTGGTTAGGTGGTGTCGCGCAATTGGATGGACGTTTAATACCAGGAGATTGTTTGCTATTCGTAAATAATATTAATTTAGAAAATGCTACTTTAGATCAAGCTGTGCAAGCTTTGAAAGGAGCGCCGAAGGGCTCCGTACGTATTGGTGTAGCCAAACCCTTGCCTATGACGGATACTTCGCTTAAAGCAAATGGTAACAATAGCGGAAACGCTTTGTCATCTGAAGGTGATAGTGCTGGCAATTCATCAAACACCCGGAGCCTTCCTGCCACCGGTAGTACGATGGAAAGCATTCATAACCAACTGGCATAATTAAATGTTAACTGCCATAGAGAAAAATTAAAACATTCTCTTAACACTTTTACGATTTATATTTTACATAAATTATATTATTACATGTACTTAATAATAAAATTACCATCAAAACATTTCAATTAAGTCACCCTATTTAACCGCCGTTCCAATTTCTGATGTGTTCTGCGCGAGAGTAAGCGGGACCGGGCATATGACAGCACATAGCTGAACAAGCCCACCGTAAAACACCATACCTCAAACTTGACAAATTTTCTTTGATCTACGAGAGCCACACGATCACAACTCTTTGTCACCGTTTCGCCGCTCTTACAACGCAACACTTCCTTGTAATTAGTGTGTATGCAAAATAGGCGTGGCATTCGATTTTATCCTATTTTCAAAAAAAAATGAATATTCTCTTTCCATATATATTCAAACAAATGGTT